AATAATCATTTTCCTGGATATATACATTTAAAAATAGAAGTATTGACGCCATAAATGAAATATACGCTGCAAGAGATAAAAGAGTATTCGGAGATTGGGCAAACTTTAATTAATTCATAAATGAAAAATATATACTTTTTTACTCTTTAAAGATTATCATTGGCTTCTTTTTCACCCCAACACTATACTTAGCAACAAAGGTCGCCATTTCGTTTGTTTATCACTGGTCAAAAACTATCAAATGCATTCAAAAGCCTAAAAAAGAAAAAAGTTTACAGGAATCGACCAATCGAGCGAGCGAGCGAGCGCCATTCATCACATTATACCTACAACTCGCTTTTGCGCATGCGCGGGATTCACGAGTTAAAAATGACACCATTTTGTAAGGAAAAAAAACTAGTCCAGGAACTCCTCTCCACGCTGGCATCCATATTACAAACAAATAAGTCGCCATCAAATCTATATTTGCCGTAAATAAGGTTAAAAACGAAGTTTCCTTTCAATAAGCGAGTACCGGTCTTGATACAGAACATAGCCACTCGCCTCGAATTGTATGAAATCATAAATAAACCTCCCGGGGGAACTCATTTCAGCGAAAAGGGTATTACTTAAGCTGTCTGTCGATTAGCTGTTTTGCTTTTCAGCAGTTTCTCCAGCTTTTTCTTTTTTGCCGCGGGTCTTTTCTTTGCCAGTTTTGTCCAATAGTCAACGTTCAACAAAACGAGATAAAAAGAACGTTTCTTCTATGCGATACTTTTCCCGGGAAAATCTTGATGCATTGTCATTGACGCCAGGAGTTCCCGTCTTCCCATTGGTTCGCGGTTTCAGAAGGCGAGATAATCTCTGTCGTGGCGCTAGTTGTTTGCAAACCTTTGAGGGCTAAAATCTCGCATTTGATTTTGAGAGGAATACATCCACTTTGAAGGAATTTATAGGGTATGTAGATTTGACCGATTTTCGTGAAATTTTGCCAAAACATTCCAAGGATAATAAAGAACGAAAGTTTGTCAGAAAAGTTTGATTTTTAAAATGATTTTCACGTTGTGTCCATTTACGCAACGCGTTTTGCATTTTTTACGCCAATCATTCAGGCGGTGCGCGCACTCCAATTGNTTATAATAGTAAATTTGAAAAAAACAGTTAAAAAACTGTGGCTTTCAAGGTTTGCTCAAACAAGACGTTTGATCTACCTTGGGTGATGAGACAGAAACAGATCATCATGATAATCACCAAAGGATGTACTCCACTTCTGAAGTAGTCCCAGTAGAGCTTCGCTGTAACTTCTCCAATCACCCGATCTTCTTGTGCAATCTCAAGACTCTTCCCTTCACTGAGAAGAGGCTTTATTTTCGCACATTTATCAGCTTCCTCGTATGTTTCACCAATCCCCCAGCCAGCGGATTCGTTGAAACCAGCATCATCATTCAGAGATGTTTTAGAGAGCGGCTCAAAGGTTGCACCTAGGACACTCTTTTCTTGTAGTTCAGTGAAACGTCCCTTTTCCAGCACACTCTCCTTATACATCACAATCACTTCATCGGCATCCTTCATGTGCTGTTCTTGGTAAGAAACTATGAGACAGGTTTTGACGCTTAGCATGCCTTTGATGCATTTGTCAAAGATGTGTTGCCCGACTTTAAAGTCAACAGCACTGAGCGGATCATCCAATAAATAGATATCTCCATCAGCGTAGACTGCACGAGCTAAACTCACTCTCGCCTGCTGTCCTCCACTCAAAACTTCACCACGTTCTCCAACAATTGTTTGGTCACCGTCGGGAAACCGCTGAATATCTTCTCTGAGAGCGCAGGCCTCGACTATTCGAGCGTATTTGAATTCTTCGTATGGCAAACCGAACAAGATGTTGTCTCTTATCGTTCCAGAAAAAATCCAGGCATTTTGAGGCAAATAAATGATCATACCTTGGCTGGTTACAGTTCCACTCGTAGGTGTGATTTCTCCAGCGATAGTTGCAAGAAGAGTGGATTTTCCACTACCCACTCGCCCCGTTATCAATGTTAAACTCTTTGAAGCAGTGACAAACTCGATGTCCTGAAGAATATATTCATGTTCGCGATCAGTTCCCTTGTATGTTAAATTTGACACACGCAAAGATAGCGACCCAATAAAATCTCTCGATTCGGCAGCAATGGAGACCTGCTCTTTTTTCTCCGGTTTGACTAAACTAATCTTTGGGTCACCTCTGCTCCCTTCTCGCACTTCACCGGAACTTTGGGGCAGTGTTTCTAAGAGAAGAAACTCTTCGATTCTACCCAGCGAAACATAACCTTCGTAAACTAAAAAAAAGGTATTAGCCAGTCCAAGGTTGATATTTCTCACGAGAACACTGACATAAGAAAGGAGCACGAAAATTTTAACAGGGCTAGGAGCCTGACCAGTCAGCACCATAGCGAGGATTAACACCAGGGTTGCCACCGCCGATGCACTGCACATCAAGCCATCAACAGTTGACTGAAGGATGTTCTTCTCATGCATAGCGCTAATTTCCCGCCTGAAATTATAATTATAAACAGGACATCACAAGGTCATGTAAGATTTTGATTGTCCCTGTGCTACCAATTACAAATTTGTTAACGTACTGTCGAAAGTTTAAGCGTAGAGCTGACAACTTTAGGGACAATTAAAAATACCAGTAGGACTTGTTCCAGATGAAAAAGTAGAAGGCTTGCAACGTCTTGCTTTGCCCTTACCT